AAGACTTTGCTCTCTGACAATATGTAACCCAGATGTGATGCCTCCTGTCTGTTCTCTATTTGCTCTTGATGAAAAACAAATAAAAAGACAACAACCATACGACTGATATCCACAACAAGAGCAGAACTGTTTACTCGGGCTAGATGCCAAACTACGCTGCACTAACCTGACACATCCAAAAACTACAGACAGATTAAATTAGAGAAGCCTTTTCATGTAAATTCCACCCATCATTTTAAAAGACAGGTTCAAGATTCTTTCTCTCTTCAGATAATAAGCCTCGTTTTCTGAGGGCTAAACTGGAGACGGCTGCGGTCTGCTGGAGAACCTGAAGCCGTCCCCAGTACGACTGCTGGGCAGATGTCTGACTGACAGCTGGAGCTGAGAGGAGAGAGGACGACACGGCATCTTGGAACAATGCAAGAGATTTTAACTGTCCGCTGTCTAGACAGCTGTGTTGCATTTTCATCTTCGCAGAGAGAAGAGAGAGTTCAGCAGTTAACCCTCACAGCTCCTAACGAACGTCAAGCCGGCCGTGAAGACAGACGGCAGAACTCTTGGTTTCTATGTCAGCGCATAAAAGAGTCTTCAAGCTTTTGTGTTCTTCTTTAAATTGCTCTCTGGCAGCATTACACTCAACCCTCTCTCTGTTTCCTCTCCTAATGGCTCACATTCCTGCACTGCCTCCAGGCGCCATCTTTGCTGACATCATTCATTCATTCTCATGTCAGTAACATGAGTATGTCCTGAGGCTAATGGAGTCTTAACAGCAAACCACTCGTTTAATTTACTATGGGAATCCTTGTTGAGGCCTTGTGGCTGCTGTTCCCTCCACTGTTCTGCAGGTTTTCAGTAGTGTTGAGTGGGTTACAGGCTGAACTATCATGAAGGGGACGGATCTCAGTGTGAGTCGTGAACATGTGACAGTGATGAGACTGTTATGGAGGCGCGTGTGTGTGTGTTGCTCCTACATTGGTCCGGGTCCATGCCAAACAGGGAGTTTTTGCGACCAAAGCGGATGCTGAAAGTCCTGCCAGCAGAGGTAGTGCTTTTGGGGTAGGAGACCTGCATTAAGTTGACGTGGCAGTTAGTGGGAACGAAGTCCATGCAGCCCAGAGGGTGAAGACGAACACCAGCCTGCCTGAAGGACGGCCACACCTTGTTCCTCAGCTCCTGGGCAAACTGTGGATAAAAAAAGACAAGAGACCGTGAAGAGCAAAGCAAACACGCAGCTTAACGAGAGCACACGACTGCAGACGAATGCAGAGAAGCACGATTACAGACATGATTAAGACTAAAGATTTAAGATTATTAATGAGTATGAAGTATATGTAACCGTTCTAATCACATTAAAATGCTGGATAAAGATGAGCTGTACTCAGCCACTCATATAACGAACTAGATTTGAGTGTGTTTCTTGGTGTTTTCTGATATTGATCATATTGTTTCCTGTACCTTTATGGAAACAGCATAACTGAGGCTAGAAGTGGAGAGACGTGTTCTGTGCAGCATGACACTGGTATATTTCCATAAATCAAGACAAAAATAATCTAGATCTTGTTGTCATCCTTGTCTGCTCTGTGTGAACACAGTCCCTGACTCCATAACATGTGATAGTTTGGTCACTAGTGACCTCATGGTAGCAGGATTTCAGTTTTTTTTACAAAATGTGGTTTGAGCAAACATTTCAAACCTTTAAATGACACGTAGAATAAAGTGTTTTTGAGGAACTATCACATTTTTAATCTTAGATTTGGGAACACTGCAGATAACCAGTTCAATAAAACAATTATTTTTCTGTTTATATAGTTTTTGCCGCTGATAAATTGTCATTTCAGTGATTTTTTTAAAAGCCTTTCAAACCCACATGCAGGTTTTAGGGTTCAGAGACAACGACATGTGGTTTGAAGGACACACATGAATGTATTGAAAAGGCATTTCATTTCTACATCGATAACACCAGAAGCACATTGCTCAGCCCACTTTAACTGGAAGCTTCTCTCTTTGGCTGTGAGCAGTATAATGCATTCAGAAGATATTTAGCCAACAAGAAACACAATGACAAGAGAAAGGATAATCCATCTGTTCTGGTATAAATGCGATATGAATGCTGCTATGAGAGATATTTCAGCCAAATGTTCACTAACAACTGAGACTGTTTATAACATGGGGATGTGAATGAATAGAGGACATTCCTGTGTCCATACCTCAGCTCAGGAGAGAGTAGAAATATGCCTCGGTACCTGCTGATAGCTGCTGATGCGCCGTCGGATACTCTCCAGCTTGGTGTCACAGATCTGTCTGAACTCGTACTGCGGCATGGTAACGACTCGGTCGCTCTGGGAGATGAGCTGGCTGCAGTTATGAACAAAGAGGCTGTCATCACCTGAAAATGCCTCAAGGATCTGTAGAGACAAGAAGTATGTGTAAGGATGGATTACACCTACGATAAAAATTTAATTACATGATTTCTGTCAGTGAAAAAAAAAGCCTTTCTAGCACATAAAGCAAATGGGCTTCTCATCTAGAAAAACATTCATCTAGCAAATAAAAGCAGCAGTGAGGCCACAAAACCCTCCTGCCTCTCTGAGAGCCGTCATAATAACACGACTTGATCAAATGTCAGTGGCCACAGAGTAGTGAAGGGCCACTTTGGAAGAGATATGAGATGTGAAGGTGTGAACATCATCCACCTTCTGCAAGCATTCAGCTAACAAATGAATGAAAGACTCTCTAGTGTCATATCCATTACATGACAGCCAAGGAAGACAAAAACTCATCAGACTGAAGCTCGTTGTTCCATCAGTACCTTGGCAGTGAGGCTGAAGCAGCCTTTGGGCTCAACCATCTTCTCCAGGACGTGGCACTTGATGCCAGCAGTGCTCACGTATTCGTAGACCACACCGTGCTCCAGGTGGACGTTGTCCACCGTCAGACTGACCAGAGGCAGCTCATCAGAGAGGGACAGTCCGCTCAGCCTGTGGTCTGTGGAGAACAGGTCTGCTTTACATGCTTTGCATATGTTGAAGAGAAAAGCATTTAGAGTCCATACAAAACAAATGATCCTGAAGGATGACAAGAGACTAAAAAACTAGATAGATATCAATCTCAAAAGTAGAACTAAAAACACAACGTCTGAACCCTAAAGCCCTATATTTGCAAAATTACATAATTTATTGGAGCCAGAAACGGTAAAAGCAGTAAAAATCTGACGGCCCTTGAACTACTCATCTGTTCTGTTGGGCAAATTATAGAAATCTAAGCTCAAAACGATGATATTTCATCAAAAACTTAAAGTTGTGCATTCCCCAGCACAGTGTGAAGTCGTCAGAGTGAGGCTACGACACACACCAAACATTCAGGAACAGGTCGTGTTTATACAGAACACGTAAGACACATGAACGGAAACAAATGACAAATAAGGTAGTAAAACACTTGTCGTATGTAGAGCCCTGGTACTGGTAACTACTGTGGGAACTTGGGGAAAATGTTGTACTTGTCTTTATCAGGTTTTGTAAAATTTTTGCAAAGCAAGTAACCCATTTTTTTTCTTCTTTTTTTAAAAATCATTTTTGGGACTCTAACTTTAAGCAGAAGACATTTCTGAGTTCCTTCTACTAGCCATGGTTGAGCTGCTTCCATAGAGGTGCAGGACTTTATATGAAATATGAGTCATAGATGCAAAATAAACCCAGAAATTGGTTGAAGTTTAGAGAGTTAAACAAGATTGAATGACTTGACTTTACTAACTTTCCTATCCAGTTGTATTTAATTAGATATATATGTAAGAAAAACACTGAAATCATCTCTATAGCTGGAGTCACAGCCTCCTCAGGTTTGGACAGAAACCCAGAAACATTACACATGTCTTTAGTGATGATAAAGGTAGGCAGCGCCCTGAACATCTGTCAGGCGACCCTACTCTGTCAGCACTGTAGGATAAACCGACCACTAAGTATATATACAGCACACTGGACAGAACTGGACGGTGACAGCGTGTGGAAGTCCTCCTGAAGCTGCTTTTTACTGACACAGTGACTGTGGCCCAGTTCAGAGGCTGTCTGGGTAGAACGTACTGCTTTCATGTAATGTTATTGGCAGCAGCAGATTGGTTTTTAAAATCAATCGATGTGGAAACAAACACGAAGCAACACTGATCTTGTTCAGATATGTTGAACAACTACGACAGAGATGTGATTCTCCCTTGAAAGGTTCACGATTTGACTCCTTAAAACTTAAAGCGCTACAACAACAAAGCTTTAATGTGAAGAGCAAATGAACCAGACGATGTGACGTGATGTTCCACCTGCTCCGTTGGTGCCGTTCTCCTCCTCGTGGTCAGAACCGTTCTCCACTGGATAAGGCCTGAAGGGGCTCTCGTCCTTCCCTCTCTCCCTCTGTAGCTCCTCCACGTCCTCAAACGCACGATACACCCAGTGGCACTGCAGGAACAAGGATCGAATGTAATGTTCAATAAATATTTATTGGAATTAAGACGAGGCGTTGAGTGACACGAGGAGGAGATGAGGTGTGAGCAGAAAAGAGAAAACAGGCGATGCAGAGAGCATGAAGGAGACAAGGAGGAGATGTAGTTTTATGTAGCCATGCAGACATCACTGCACTTTATACACAGAATCGGAGGTATTTGCCTTGTGGGCACAGATTCTTGTCACCTGACAGCTACACAATGAAGTCAGCCACACCTACGACGTCTTGGTTATTATTATTAATATTATTATTATTATTATTACTATTATTGCCTTCGCCCTAAGTCGGCTGGGATAGACTCCAGCCCCCCCTGCAACCCTAGTGAGGATTAAGCGGCGTATAGATAATGGATGGATGGATTATTATTATTATTATTATTTCCTGCTATTAAATGAACCAGGAAACATTTACTGGAACGCATCCAGAATAAGGCTCCTCAGGTTCTGCCTGCTGAATAAAACAATGCTGTGTTTTATAAAGACAGGAGGATGATTACAACAACCAGAGAAGAGCTTTGAAGCCGGCCAGGTGAGTATAAATACTGGCATCCAGTGATAATTAACGTTAAAACAATTCTACATTAATATTCTGTCAAAATTCTTGGAATGGATAAAAAATTTGGTAGAAAAAAGTATGATCTTGATTTGTTGCTTGAGTCCTGCAGCAGCAAAGCGATGACTGTAGTCAAAAAAGGGCAGCCCTAATATAAGATGTACACGTTAAATTAGAGAGAAAATGACTTAAAACCAGTGAAATGATCTGTCCATGCTGCATTTTACTTGATAAGAAATCTTGAAATAAGAATTTTAAATCTAGACTTGTCCCAGTTAAAGATCCACAAACTTTAAAACAAGCTGCTGATTTTCAGGTCAAAATACTTGAAATCAAACTTTGCCCAATAATAAGCGAAAAATACTAAATACAAGCACATAATTCTTGCAGTAAATCAAGGTTTTAAAACAAGAGAAACATGATTAATCTAAGTAAAGATTACTCAGTACGAGTGCAGTGTGATTAAACTGGTCTTGATAGATGTTGAAATAAACCTAAATCCACATTAAAACTAAACCCAAAAGCTTAAAATCAGACCTTACTCTGAGATTATACATCTTGACTGACTCTTTGAATGTGCATTTGTTTCCTCTTTAGCTAGAAAAAATGCCCAGTAAACTGTTTCCTAGCCTGTTAGCTCATCAACTCTGCCACATTGCTGAAGTTAGAACTGATGCTAAACCTGCCGTCTTGTGGCGCTGCTCGGTTTTCAGTATAAATAAAGCGCTCAGTGATTTCCCCGGTGGAGTCATAAGAGCACACAGCAGGAATGTGAAACCTCACTGGTACCACGTACTGAGGTGCATGATGCGGCTTGTTGCTTTTGAGTCACACTTTGCATTTAAAAAAAAAAAAAACTGATCTCAATGAAACACAGACGCCAGAAGACCTGCTCCCATCAGGAGAACATGGAGGACGTGCTTCCTGTGTGCTCTCACCGCTTGTGGAGGCTCCTGGTGAGGCTGCTGGGCGGTGAAGTGCTCCAGGACCTCCCGGTGGTCGCTGTGGTTGACGTTGCTGCCGTTGACCTTCAGGACAACCTGACCCGGCTGAAGGCCCGCCGCCGCCGCCTCCCAGCCTGCAGGGTGTCGACACGGGAGCACAGGTCAGAGGTGACAGTGGAACGAAATACAACACGGGACCAAAACATGAAACTTTAAAAGTCCAACGCTTCATGCACGTCTCCAGTCTGTCTTTCTTTTTTTTAGCTCAAAATACAAAAATGGTTCCTTTCACCACGACTCTGTGACACCTGGTTAAATGCTGCTGGCCTCTAACTGACAGTCCAGAGAAAACAGCTGACCGCACGGCAGCTAATGTACATTTAAACACGTGTGTCAGACCAGGACCTTCTGCTGCATCCCCCGAGATAACATCAGTTTGTGTTCGTGAGCCCCCAAAATGAATTTTTAATATCTCATGAGTAATAACTTTGTTGTTAATGCGTTAAAATTAATGTGTTAATTCCACAGATTCATTCAGATTCTTTACATGAACACATTCATTTTCTTTTGAATGAATTAAATTTATTTTGAACAAATGAAAGGGAAAAAATGTAAAAACTAAAGAAAATAATTTTAAAACGAGCAAAAAAGAATAATAATATCACATAATATTAACAAGTCTGCAAAAGGAGTGGGAAGAAGTATAGATTTTTAATTTTGACAGCCCCAATACACATTTATTTGACTGATGTAGGCTTTCTTTATTTATCTTTTATTTTTTTACAATGATCTGGCGACCCGCTGAAATTACCTAGAGACCCCCATGTGGGTCCCGACCCCCAGTTTTAGAACCACTGCTCTAAGCGATCTGTTATTATCGAGATCTCCCAGAATTCACAGCACAGGTTGTTGTACGGTGGGTGTTACAGCAGTGCCAAGCAGGTGACTGCTGATCAACATGTCGTCTTTAACGGGCTGCATTCAGTCCTTATGTCAGACTAATCCAACTGTCTGATGACACAAACAGAACAATGATTAAGGGAATAAGAAAATCCTGCTGTATTATAATACAGTATATGTGAGCACATCGAGCAGATGAAACACAATAAACTACCCAGTCCTTGTCTCTTGGTTTCATATGACCCTTGAAGCTTAAATCACGTCTGAACGTCTCTTACAGAGCTCTGACCTGTGGACTTATGATCAGAGCTAATGGTACACTAATGATCTTCCTACTGTTGTGGGGACTCTGGTCCACTGGTCTTCATTTGCTGTGATGCTGGAAGTACATGAAAACTTTTTACTCTGACAGCCAGCAGCAGAACATCTGGTGAGATCACTAAAACACTTTAGGGTCAGTAAAAAACTAGTTCCTCAATTTCTACCTAGAAGCTAAATAATATTCTGACTGGCTTGTAAAACTGGGAGGAGTTAAGAAGAAAGTAGATAAATGACAGTTCACACCTCAGTTAAAAAACAATAAACAGATTGATCTACAGAGAAAAAGGAGGGGTTCTAAAGTCCTGTCTCCTATGGCCCGGGGAATGTATGGTCCAAATCAAAGAACATGAGTTTATCCTCTGTGGAGTTTCAATATAAGTTTGGATTCTCATATCTGTACAAGAAAATAGGAAATGATTTGGTCCAGCGCCACAACACGTCGCCTCAAGCTGCTAATGGCTTTACGGCCTGGAAGCTCAGTCAACACCTCCATCATCTTCCTCTCCCGTCTAAAAATACCGGGGCTGGCATCACGTCCACCCAGGGTGCCAGCAGCTACCTGACTCTGGGGCTACTTGACCCACGCGTGAACAGTGCACAGGGAGACCAAGTTAAGAACAGAGAAGAAAACTGGACACTCTGTAGTTAGATGGAAAGACTGCAGCTCGTACACCAGAGAGCCCAGAGGGACGAACACAGGACGCTAGGAGAGAGGAAAGGAGACGAGGAAGGAAGGAAGCAGAGAGACCATGATAAAACCAAAGGATCACTGGTTGTGCCAATCAGTTGTGTTACTGTGTGTGTGTGTGTGTGTGTGTGTGTGTGTGTGTGTGTGTGTGTGTGTGTGTGTGTGTGTGTGTGATATATTAGTCTATACAGTGATTCAGACATTTACATGACTTTAAACTTCAAAATCATTTAACTTTTTATTTCTCTACTTCGAGTCAGTCGAGGCGGTACAAACATCTGGCCAGGAGGTCGTAAGGACAGCGTGTGTGTGTGTGTGTGTGTGTGTGTGTGTGTGTGTGTGTGTGTGTTTTAAAAGCAGAGCTGGCTCTATGGGGGGTTTGAACCCTGACCACAGGCCGCCTGGCTGTCAGGAGGCCATAAAAGCCTGACGGAGGCTCACTAAAAGCAGCATGTAACAGGTGGTTTAGAGGCTACAGTTACCTCAACTTTCCCTTAAATTCACTCAGAATTATTTGTCTTTTTGACACCGTAAACACTTCTAACATATTTACAGGCACAGCCACGCCGAGGTCAGGAATGTCCGTCCTGTTTCACATCATGACTGAAACAAACTGAATATAAAATATATAATATAATTATGTCATTATTTATGATGGGAGGACAGGAAAACCTTTTTCATTTACAGTCTTGTTGTTATTATTAAATCTCATATACTCTGGTATTCCCCTGATACTGAAATCCATCCACGACCAAAGTCACATATTGGGGGTGATTGATGAGGCTGCAGAGGTCAGTTAACCTTCTGAACTTCAAGCAGTTTCTAGCTGAGTTTTTATTTGCTCCTGTCACATTTGTATTCCCTTTGAGCTCATTTGTCAATATAGTCCTGCACATCTATGGAAACAGATTGATATGGCTCGAGGGAGGGAGGGATCAAATATGTCTGTGTGATGTGACATAAATCACAGCAAAAAGGAAAAAAGAAAGTTACAGACAGCATGGCTCTACATGTTATAGACATTTTACTACTGACATCTTTAATCTGTTCCCGTATTCCTCTTCTTGTGTGTTTTATTCTTTACTCTTATTCATCTTTTTAATATTGTTTCGGTGTGGAACAGGTGCAGAAAGCGTTTCACTGCGTGCTACACCATGTACAACTGTGTTTGTGACCAATAAAGGCCTTGAATCCTTGAATCCTTGAATCCTGTGTAAACACAGCCTGCAGTTTAGCCCAGTTCAGCTGAAAAGTCCCTGGATTGTTGTCATGTGAGTGCAGGCTGCAGATGAGGAACTAAGAAGTTTTAGTTGTTCTATTTTTACAGAATCTGGTTTTAATGAAAAAACATATTAAAATGAGACTGGTAGAATAACATGACTCTGATAAAATGTCTTGATTTTCACCTTAGAATTAGGTTCACCTAATTCTTGATCTAAAATTAAGGATTTTTTTTAAGGATTTTTGAAGGAAACCTTAAAACCGTCTGTGAAACTTCAATCCCAGATCACGCTTAAGGACCGTCAGAAAGTTTAAAAATCTCAGAAAGTCGTTTTTTACAGTCTCCGGCTCTGATAAATGGTGTCATTTTATGATTTTTTCAAAGATAACATGCGTTTTAAACCCACTAGTAGGCGCTCAGAGAGTTAAACGTGTCCCTCACCTTTCCTGACGGCGTGGACGTGGGGAGGGGCGGAGCCACAGAGCCTGAAGGAGAGGCGATCTGGTTGGTCGGGGATCTTCACAATCCTGGAAGAGGAAAGAGCCGTCAGATCAGTGCGCCCTGAGCGTCGGCATACATGTGTGTGTGTTCGAGTGCTGGCTCCCTCACTCCTTGGCCTTCGTGGCAACCAGAAGTCGCAAAGAGCGCCGCATGCAGAAGGCCTGGCTGATCATGGTCTCCACCTCCGAGAAGGGCCTGAGGAACAGCAGGTCCTCGTTGATGGTGAAGATCTTCCTGCCCGCCTGCAGGCCGGCCATCTGGACGGACAGACGGACAGACAGGAGACAGAACGCTGTTATTTATAGGCTTCACCTCCCTCTAAAGTTCCATTTGCGCCACACTTAATTTACAAATTACCGCCCTGTTATCACGACGAGGCCTCAGCTGTGCACCGCGTCCACCTCACATGTGATTTAAGTTTAAGTCCGTCTGTTTCATTACAGGTAGAGACTGTATGTTAAGGAGGAAACGTCCTGTAGATAAATCTATAGACACAAACCTACAGGAAGCTTCTGGGCCCCCAACACTCCAAACACCAATTCCTTCCTGCTGCCTGTTGGATCTGCACGCATGTTTAAAACCAAAGGACTATTTTTACTTTCCACACGTTGGAAGATAACAACATAGAGATCCCCTCTAGTTACATGTCTCTCATGATGAGGCCATGTGTTTGTGCTGGTGGCTGGTTTTGCCTCCTTTTTTAAATTTTATTTTGTAATTATTATATATTATATTATATTTTATAGATATTATATTATATCTATTCTACCGTTTGGCTGCTACCATGCTCATTCCTTACTTCCTGCTGGCTCCTGCTGTAAATATATTCTTATTTATCTTTTCTTATCCTTGTATTTTGCACCACTGGAGTTGTCTTTTAATTTCGTTGTACTCTGCATATGATGACAATAAAAGCATTTTGTTCTATTTCCTTTAACTAAATCCACTCTGACCCGTCACAGTGCACGTCTGTGGAGCTTCACCAACTAATTTAAATGCTCTCAGAGTATCACACATCCTCCGTTTTGCACAGTCACATATCACTTTCCAGAATCCTTTACCACTGACAGACACAGAGCCTCCCCCCCACCCCAGTCTGCTGCATGTCCTTAAATGCAGTCATCTTTCACATCTTCAGTCACGTTGCGAGAATAATGCCGCCTCTGTGCGTTTGCTGTGTGAGTCCAGTGTCCCGGGCAGAGATCCGGTAGGGTGGCCTTGGCTGAGCCAGGCTCCGACTCTGGACGGCAGCCCAGCATGGATGTAGGAGCGACTGGGAGGAGCCACGGCCGCTTGAATGGGAGAGGATGTACGTATGTGTATGTGTGAGCGATTACACAGCGTGGGTGCTGGTCTACACGTGACTTTCTATAATAGTATCATATAGTGAAAGAGCTCAGTGTGTGAGTGTGCGCCTCTCAGCCCTTTCAGAGCCCCATGGGAATCAGCTGAGCTTCATTCACTGTGCTGGCACACGGGCCCTGTCACATCTAGCAATCCTGTTATTGTGGGGAACGGAGGACACGGGGGGATGAATAACGGAGGGAGAGGGGGAGAGACAAACGGAGAAAGAGGAAGCAGAGGAGCGAGGGGTTTACTGCAGAGGAGAGAAAGAAAAAAAGATTATCCAGAGCAGAGGAGAGCAGTGGGGGAAGCAAAATAACACAGAAATCTGAAGCACAGAGAGAAACAGTGGCGAAATGAAACGGTGAGGGGCGACACAGTCAACCCTCTGAACCCCAAAACCGGGCGGCAGGTTCCACAAGCAGCTTATTTTAAAAGAAGAGTTACAAAACAAAAAGAAATGTGAGATGGTTTAACTCTCCAACAGTGTTTTTAACTTGGCGTGCATCAAAACGAAGCTTAAACTTGTCATATTCCATCCAAATCACTTCAGTCGACATGTCAAAATACACAAAGAGGTTTCTGCTGAACGAGAACTAAAACAATCTGCCGTCATCAGTGCAGCTAAAAGCAACCAGCAGAGATCCACTGACTGTCCAGCCGACCTGCAGGCTGCACATCGGACAGAAATTGAATTACAGGAAGTAAAATATCTGTAGGATATAGTTCACAGGTTTTCTGATGGGCGCCTGAAGAAATGTTGTCGATGTTGATTCCAGGTTTTTAAACTTAGATTTTTTCCTGTTGTTGTGATTTATGGATTTTTCAGTGTGTTGCACTGCAGACGTGTTTGTTTTCCATCTCTGGACATGATGTGGACAAAGAAGATTCCACAAACAGCAGACAGACGAGAAGATGAAATGACAGAAAACACAGTCGCCTTGTCCGTCCTACATTACTGCAACCATCAAGGTGCTGCTGTGGTTTTATTGTCAGGCTGAAGAAAAACATGTTGAAGGCCACTGATGCAAAAATATCTGCTGGCTCCTCCCTAACAAACATGAAAATAAAACTGCATTGTCTGCATTTAACATGTCATTGATAAGCTGTGTGTGTGTGTTTGTCTGGAGGTGATGTGATGAAGGGAGTCAACGGTTCTGCAGCCAATCAGCTCTTCTAAAGAGACCAGACTGACAGCCGTTACCTCCTGGATCAACATCCTGAGGTGGGGAGAGGATGCAGTGTGTGTGTGTGTGTGTGTGTGTGTGTGTGTTGACCGTTACCTCAGCATGTGAGCCTCTGGTGACCGATTTCACCACAATGGCCTTGTTTTTCTCCTCGATCTCGAAGCCGTAGTCCTCCTCCTCAGGGTGGATCTAGATCACAGAGGAAAAAATCACCTGATCACTCTCACGTTTACACCGACGACCGTCACGCTTACACGTCTTCCACTGGTTCAGCATCACGACGTAGAAAAGCTATTTCAGCACCGCACACATTCACACACACGTCGTATTTGTTTCACTCGGTTCTGCTGCTGTTTAGCACAAATTGAAAAAAATCCAGTAATTTATACAAATCTTGTAAATAACACTCTATGGTTCTTATTTAACTTTGACTCTTCACTCCACAGCTTTTATTTTTTTTTTTGCTTCTGCTTTGCACTATTACAGTTATTTTTATTTTTATTACTTTATTTTACTCTATATTTATTGTTTACTCGGTATTTATTGTTGTTTTGTTGCACCAACTCACCAGAACCAATTCCTCGTTTTGTGTGAACCAGCGGTTCTCAAACTTTTTGAGCGAAGATAACATCAGTTTGTGTTTGTGACCCTCCAATTTGAATTTTTAATATATCATGAGTAATAACTTTGTTGTTAATGCATTAATTAATTAAAGATTAATGTGTTAATTCCACTGATTAATCTCTTTACATTGATTTCTTTTAAATGAAGTGAATTTATCTCGAACAAATGAAAGGGAAAAAAATATATAACAACAAAAGAAAATACTTTAAAAAAGAGCAAAAAAGAATAATAATAATATCACATAATCAAATCATAATATTAACAAGTTTGAAAAAGGAGTGGGAAGAAGTGTACACTTTTAATTCTGACAGCCCTAAAGCACATTTATCTGATAAATGTAGGCTTTATTTATTTTTTTTACAATGATCTGGCGACCCCCCTGGAATGATCTTGGGACCTCCATGGGGGTCCCGACCCCCAGTTTGAGAACCACCAGTGCAAACTATACCTGCCGATAAATCCGTTTCTGATTCTTCTGATTCTGAAATCATACATTTGACTGTTTACAGACATCAGCTGCATGCTTTTGCTCTAAGAGGTCATTAGTTTGTAATTACATCAGTGACATGAGCCAGAATCACTAAAGCTCCGTGTTGCTCTCTCTGGGTGGTCTCACATACACGCCATCCACACAGAATCATGGCTGTGACTCTCAGTGCACGTCAGGTGTCTCCCATCCGAGGACGTCCACCTGCTTCTCATGGCGTCCTCCCCTGTGGGGCACGGCTTAGTGAAACCCTGTCATCACCAAACACATTAGCAGCTCCCATTAGCGGAGCTGCTGAGGCCGTCTTCCTGCTGCACGCTCCTGATAAGATGAGCATCTCTGCCGCTGCATCAGAGGAGATGGCTGCAGTAAATAAAGAGTTCCTGCACTTCGCTTCAATTATCGGGCAAGAGGGAGGATTAGTTCCGCTAATCAGAGAAAGAGCCTTTTCCCCGTCTTGTGGAGGGCCAGATAGCTCGCCGGCTTCCCTCTCTGATGTGGAAAAGGATGCTGGTGGTGCTTCTGGATCTCCCTCAAGATAACGGACTTAACTAAACAGTTAACTCTGTGTTCCAGCCTCTGGAAACCACCCAGAACAGGGTACACTGACCTCATTTCATGTGCCAGATAAACAGAGTTACACTTAACAAGCCACATGCTCTGTATGACGCATTTATACACAATCTCTGTGCCCAAAGAAAAAGAAAAAAAAACACAACATGAAAATAAGCCCTGATGTCATCTGTGCTGCAGGTGTGATGACAACCTCACTGGTTTTAACCCTCTGACCCCGAAACCCTGTGGGTTTAAAAAAGGAAAGTTATCTTTAAAAAAAAAAGAAAAGAGAAACAGAAAAACGACACCATTTATCAGCCAGAAACGGGAAACACAGGAAGAACCAGTGAAGACTTCTGAACAAGACATGAAGTCATTTTGATAAAATGTCACAGTTTTAAGCTTAAATTTAAAATGGAAAGCACATCACACACGATTAGCTCAAGGATCACTGTCAGAGCTGAAAACCCAACAATTATATCTGTTTTAACAGCTTCTAGCAGCTAAAAAAATAAAAAAATAAAATAAACAGATGTTTGATGCAAATAATATCTTCTCAGTTGACATTTTGATGACGTCTCATATTCATGTGACCCATCTGCACCAAATCATCCCCGTTATGCCGGACGGTGTTTGACCGTTTGTAGAAAACAACTACACGGACCGATCTAAGTAATAAAATCAACATGTTATCATGTCTTAATTTGGGCAGAATCTGGGATGTAGCCCAAGGCACCATGTGACTGACTTCGTGCAGATGGGTCACATGTGTTAACGCTCCATCACATATTTTAAATCTAACACGTGATGCATACAAAAGAAGCTTCAAAAAATTATATGACAAACTGAAATATGTGTTTGAAAAGTCCTATTTAGACATCTGCCCAAATCCTTCATCCCGGCCATGTAATGTAAATACATGAGGAAGCAGTTTGTTGTCTTTGTTCTTACATCAGTCCACCATAAAAATGTTTTTATGTTGTTTTTTTTAAAGAGACTATTTAGAGTAAATCCTGCCGTAAAACGTCCTAAATTACAGCATCTCTGTGCCTGAAACAAACGGCTTTATCGTGATCTCAGAAGGAAACAGAAATTACAGTGTGAGGCCGGTCTTGGAGAAAGAACCTACAATCTGTGTGTCCGCGGACATTAGCGTCAGGATGTGGAGATGTGTGTGTTCCAGCTCACCACCAGGGACTTGGCCAAGATGTTCTCGATGAGTTTGAAGTCGTTCCTCTGGAGCTGCTTGCTCTTGGTGCTGGTTCCCTCGGTCTCCTCGTCTGCGTAGAAACGGAAGAACTGGGACTCGTCTTTGAACTCGCTCTTCTCCAAGACTGAAGGGGGAAAAAAACACACAAGCAACAGTTAGCTCAGCAGAAAAGGCCTTCTACAATGAGTTTTGATCAGACATGGTTCTTTGTCCATCAACAATCCAAGACGTGCTCAAACTGGAACAACTGATGCTCTCACAAACGTTAGGTCTCCTCCAACGAGTCGCTTGCAGGTCATGTCCTACTTCAAACAACTGTGCAGAATCAAAGGATGCTTCAGGTGTTGACATCTTCACACAAACAAGTTAACGGCTAATTAGCTCATTAGCTGATGATGCTACGAGGGACATCTGGAGTCGTAGCACATCTGGGTCACAGCCAGCCCGGGCCCGGGGTGAGGGAGGCGTTCTCCGGAGGACGCGAGGAACAGTCTGCTGTGTGTGGCTGAGTGTGTCCAGAAGTCCCACCGTTGGACCGAGCCTCGCCTCAACACATGGGGCGCGCCAAACATGTGATGACAACATCCTGGATGCTTATTCAGTCACAGCAGTTTGTAAAAACAATTGATCCTGCTGTCGGTTTTGTAATAATGCACAACCACGGACATCAGATTACAAGCCTTCATCCAAACAGCTCCACTTGGCCATGTTAGTATGAAAACTCCTTTGTCACTTTGATTTTATTACATTCCTTTGAGTGCTGCTGTCCAGTCATCAAGCTGAAGAAAACCTGACGCCTGAAACCCGGGACATCCACTACTCTACCCACAGAACGCCATTTAACAGCAGCTTCTTGATGTTTGTGCTTAGAAGACATGACGGGACTTCTTATTGCACTAGACAGGATTTAAAAATACTAATGTTGAAATTTCCGACATGCAGCTCAAACGCTCGCAGACAGAAGACGTCCACCTGAGGACTTCTCTGAGAGCCAAAGGTACCCAGCTGTTCAGAGGTTTGGACGGCATCTGGCAGCCACAGGTAAACAAAAGCCTTCGTAAATTCATTACACACACCACACCCACTATCACTGGCCTCACGCCGACTCCAACGTCAGTGATTTCCTCTGAGTCATGGAGGCCGCGGCCCGATAATACCTTAACACCACCTAGTTAACCAGAGGGAGTGCTGCTCCGGAAACCGCCTAAGGACACAAATACTTACTCACACGTTGCTGAATCATCAATCAAATGCCAAGAACAGCTGACAGTATTCAGGCTTTAGCTAAGTGTTGGTGAGGCTCAGTCTACTGGACAGTTTATGTAGCTTAACTATGAATGTAAAATATAAAATACGAAGCAGCGATGCAAGGATTTAGGCAGACGTGACATCGATACATATCTACATATCGTATTACAGTAAATGCAATTTAACACTCTGAACCCTAAAACCTGCCGTCCGGTTGGAAAGACCAACATCACACCGTTTATCAGAACAGAGTCAGAACAGTCTTGAGCTACTCGTCTGTGACATTCTGGTCCACCAAGAAAACCAGGTTGAATCTTTTAAATCTTACAATCTTGATATTCCAACAAATTACTTTATCCTACATTTATTCCATCCATCCATCATCTCTACACCTTCATCCTCACTAGGGGGGCTGGAGTCTATCCCAGCTGACTCAGGGTGAAGGCAGGTTCACCTGGACAGGTAACCAGTCTATCACAGGGCTACACTTAGAGACAGACAACCAAGCACACTCACATTCACACCTACGGACAATTTACAATCACCAATTAACCTCCAGAGAACCCGGAGAGAACCCACACTGCACAGGGAGAACACGCAGAGAGATCCCGGGTGTCCTCACCGGGACGCGAACCGGCGACCTTCTAGCTTTATTCCCTTTATTCTACATTTATATAAAAAAAACCTTCAAAATAAACTCTGAGCAGATTCAGCGAAAGCAAAAAATCTGCGTCCCTTGGCACCAATGTGAAGGCATTAGTGCTGAGGTGACCGACCAATCAGGTGCAGGCTGTGTTTACAGCATATAGAGACAGGTATGGAAACAGATTAAACTGCCTGATGAACACATGAAGCAGCCTTTGTTTCCTGTCTTGGTAACACTTGTAGGCACTTGAAAACTTGTTTTGCATGTGGAGTCTGAATTGAGAATGTAAATGTTTTTGTTTAGTTTTTTTAATGATTATTCATGATTGCATGATACCTTTGTTCCACTGCCCAGATGACATGTTTGAGGTGTTTCTGCTGCTTCCATAAAAATGTGACTGACTGGAAAATACCCCAAAACTGTTTGGAGCTCAGGGGGCTGCAAGATGCATTTCTAACAAATAAATATTTTGGTCTAGGATCCATTCAATCAAGGCATCTAACAGGAGCAATCAGTAAAATGTGCTGGAGTCTCTTGTGCTTCATATGCTGAGTTGTCTGAAGGGCAAAATGCAACAGGTGCTGATGACAGACAGTGCAGATGGGTGGTATAAGCAGGTAAGGACAGGTGAAGGCCACACGAGCTCTGCTATCTGTCTAAGTGATCATCCAACCAATGAGGAGCCTTACAAGTTCATAACAAAGAAAACCAGTCAGTCAAAGAGAAACAGACACGAGGACAGAAGGGAGAAAAAAAAAGAGTTCAAGAGGAAGCAGGTGAAGAGCAGCAGACGTGCTGAGTAAGGACTAAAACCAGCGACGTGGCCGAGGTGAGGAGCGCAGACAGGCTGAGAAGAAAGAGGTCATCACGCCGAGGGAGGGCAGACAAGAGGTGACACCTTCCAACAGATGGCGGTGGGAGGCAGGTGTAGGTGTGAGCGAGTGAGTCGAGCAACAAGCGAAGAAAAGTCACATGTGGTGGTCTGGGAGCACAAACACTAGACGCTGCATTGACGATGCGGCACCAGGAAAAAAACTGGCAGCACAGTATTTTTTATAATATATATTGTGATTTGAAATAATATAGAAATTTTGACTATATGACTTGAATAACTCTGTTTGGAAAGAACTCATCCATCTAAGGTGATTAGGGGGGTTTATGTGTAGGGGTGTGCATCACAGAAAATAAAAATCATCTTTAAAAAGCAGAAAAACAGCCATTTAGCACCTTTGTCATGTGGTGTTACAGGCATCTAGATCTGACTGAACTCATCACACACAGCTTTGATTTAAATAAATGAGCCTTGTTGCCTCATGTGGGGGCAACAAATCACTGCCAACAGACTTCTTGTTCTGGGTCAACATCTTCCTTTCTGAAGACGAAATATTTCTAAACATCTCTTTGATGTCAACACATTCTGTGAATTCTGAATATCGCTTCCTTCAAAAACCTTGTGCAATATCTGTTGTCATTCATATAATAGAACATACGGGATTTTGTTCATTTCTATTTATGTCGATTTGTGCAGTGTGGACAGTCTGTGCAATATTAATATCAGGATGTCTATTCATTAACAGTCAGTGCAATAATGTTATTTTTAGAACTAGTACCCATATATATATATATGTTTTGGTTTATTTTTGGACTATATCCCTTAAATGTTTGCACTATCTTGTTGCAAAGTTCCCCACTGTGGGAGGAAAAAAAGGCTTTTCTTATCTTATCTTATCTTATCTTATCTTATCTTGTCTTGTCTCACTAGACAGTCCAAACCACCCAATCAGAGAATGATCTTGCTAAATTTCTGTCCTCTTGCAGACGTCACCGTACGCATCAGGAAATCAGGAAGTGCAGTCATGACGCTACTTCTTCATTATTCCAACACTTCTTTAAAGTGATTCTCATACATTATACACTCAGCCAGTGATGATGGCCGAGGCTGTAACCAGCGGTCGTGGTTCAGTGGACCGACCCAGACGGCCATGTAGCAAAGCCAAACAGCTCTGGTTAGGGTACGCTGCTAAAGCTGTTTACATTTAACATACTGGGCTGCAACCAAAGCCGCTCCACTGCAATGTGGTCAGCGGGGTTTGAAAATTTAGACCGGGTATGCAAATGTGCGATGTCTCGTTTTCAACCTGTAGCAGAGTGAGAGTGGAGCGGCCGGTATCATGTTCTGGTGGACGGACAGAAGGACAGGCTGGAGGCCAATCAGGAGCAGGATGATGTGAGTGAGCAGAAAACAAATGAATAAGTCACTCAGTATCAGCACTAATGAGACTTAAACCAGAGCTGTAAGTTATTAGACCAGACCACACATGTCAGAGTGTTGTCAACAGATTGTACTGTGTGTGTGTGTGTGTGTGTGTGTGTGTGTGTGTGTGTGTGTCCATTCAGCTGTCCTTCATGCATATGGGAGAGAGAGAGAGAGACTGTAACTGACCATGGTGCATGAAGCCATTGTTGCAGAGCCCCACACCCAGCATCACGGCATCCTCTCGGGTCGAGCAGTCTCCCTGGGAAACCAAATCAATGACGCACACAGTCGGTCAGTCACAATGCCTGTTTACACCTTCTCATACACAGCAGACTGCAGCACTACTGGAGCTGAGATGGTGATGTTTGACCAGCATATGTTATGACAATGAGAGACTGAAAGGCAAATTCATTTTATCAGAGTCAAAAATGTTATGTTTAAAACTTTCAGCTGGTCCATGAACTACTCATCAGTGACATGCTGTTCATATTCTATTCAGCATATTCATTTTTCTATTACAGATTAAACTGTCATGAGCATCCACGTTCTTGAATTTGGAGGAAACTCAAAACTGTGGCAGGACTCTTAAATACCAATAAATGGAGACAAATGCCAATCTTTCAAGTGCTCGTCTCATTTGCATTAGAAAAACTGTAAAACAAACAAAATGCACGGCAGCAAAAGCACACAAGCTATAACCAAACAGTACAATTATACAAAACAGATACCCAACAACAGAAGTGACGGTCATTAATAGTTGCTCTTGGTGCTCTGTGTCGTATTGTTGGAGTTTGGCTTTAGCGTAATAAACCCTGGATTTACCTGTGAGAGCAGCCAGTCCACCAGTTTGCTAGCAGGCACCACAGACTTAAAGGTCTTCAGATGGTGGTCTCTGTCCCTGCAGGGGCGACAAAAGGGGTTCATGCTGTTATTGTGGAGTGCAGACCCAGTGCATGGTGGGACGTAAACAATCCCCTCGGTATATAATAAGGTCTAAGACCGTCTGCAAAAAGGTTTATCTGCTGGATGCTTTTGGCAGCAACAAGTACAACAAAACCTCCTCGTGGTAACTGCATCAGCTGTGTGAGTTATTTACATCTCTGTTGACATCAGGTCTGACTTTGACTCCAAAATTTTTTACTTGAAGCCACGTGAATGCTTCGGCTCATAGTCCTGCTGCATCAGCCCTCTGTAGGTGAGCTGCCATCCTTACATCATCCTGCACGATGCCTCGGTAAACTTACGAGTTTTGGTGAAGCTTCCATGATAAAACCACAGAGCAGCCGCCTGATCGACATGTCAACACGTGAAACAGGAAACGCTGCGGATGTGTGTTTGCTTTGTGACACGGTGGGTTAATCAGACCAGAAGTAAATGGTATCTTCTATTTGCTTCGACACTTCTGTGCCGTGAGTAAGTCGTGGGCTGTATCTGGCCTAAACCTGCTATAAAACATGCTATATCTGCTAGTGCACGTGCAGATAACGGAGCACTGATTGATGCTGCATAGGAAGTGGCCTGCTTTCATCATTTGCTGATCAATGATTCTCAGCAGTTTGGCATTGTCAGGGCTGATTTTATTTGGTTTATATGTATTTCATCGTGCATTCTTATCATTCAAGGTCCTTTATTTGCCCTGAAATCAGTGTCACTTAATAAGGTTTAACCAAACAGACCTTGTGATTATTTATGATTCATAACTGTACTACATCCATCACTCAAACGGTATAATTAACGGTCGCGATGCCAATTTAGCGTCGGATTAAAAAAAAAGCGAAGCCGCGTTACATAATAGCTGGCTGGCAGGCGGAGGGATCGCGTTTGTATGTTAATAGGATTTGTCCTCAGACCAAAAGCTCTTTGTTTGCGCCGATAGCAACCCCGGGCACTTCAATCAACGGGCCAGTGATGGAGGGAAAGATAGAGGGATGGAGGTGGACGAGTATAAAAGGAGAGGCTGCAGCAGACACA